AAATAGTTTTAAAGTTCTGAAATAAAATTCTCTCTGTCCTCCACAATGTGTTGGCTTGTACATGTCCACTCATGCATGTGCGGGAACAGAAAAGAAGTGCAAGAAGCAACAAAACACATTACGTTCAACTTTCAATAAAAAGAGTTGTATAGTAGGTATAATGACCCTTAATGTTAAGAGATCTTTTGGTGTTTGGCATTGCTCTAGAGGTGTTCAGAATACACAAATATTCTATATGTGTGTGTGTGTGTGTTACATAGGCTATGTTGTTGAATGCATTACTACATTAATCACTTGGAAATAATTAGTGTTAGTGTGGAGTTAGTGTAGAGTTAGTGTGGAGTTAGTGTAGAGTTAGTCTGGAATTAGTGTAGAGTAGAGTTAGTGTGGAGTTAGTGTGGAGTTTGTGTAGAGTTAGTGTGGAGTTTGTGTAGAGTTAGTGAAGAGTTAGTGTGGAGTTAGTGTGGAGTTAGTGTAGAGTTAGTGTAGAGTTAGTGTAGAGTTAGTGTGGAGTTAGTATAGAGTTAGTGTGGAGTTGGTGTAGAGTTAGTGTGGAGTTAGTGTAAAAATAGTGTGGAGTTAGTGTAGAAATAGTGTGGAGTTAGTGTAGAAATAGTGTGGAGTTAGTGTGGAGTTAGTGTAGAGTTAGTGTGGAGTTAGTGTGGAGTTTGTGCAGAGTTAGTGTGGAGTTTGTGTAGAGTTAGTGTAGAGTTAGTGTGGATTTAGTAGTTATTGTGGAGTTAATGTGGAGTTTGTGTAGAGTTAGTGTGGAGTTAGTGTAGAGTTAGTGTAGAGTTAGTGTGGAGTTAGTGTGGAGTTAGTGTAGAGTTAGTGTGGAGTTAGTGTGGAGTTAGTGTGGAGTTAGTGTAGAGTTAGTGTACAGTTAGTGTAGAGTTAGTCTGGAATTAGTTTAGAGTAGAGTTAGTGTGGAGTTAGTGTAGAGTTAGTGTGGAGTTAGTGTAGAGTTAGTGTGGAGTTAGTGTAGAGTTAGTCTGGAATTAGTGTAGAGTAGAGTTAGTGTGGAGTTAGTGTGGAGTTTGTGTAGAGTTAGTGTGGAGTTTGTGTAGAGTTAGTGAAGAGTTAGTGTGGAGTTAGTGTGGAGTTAGTGTAGAGTTAGTGTAGAGTTAGTGTAGAGTTAGTGTGGAGTTAGTATAGAGTTAGTGTGGAGTTGGTGTAGAGTTAGTGTGGAGTTAGTGTAAAAATAGTGTGGAGTTAGTGTAGAAATAGTGTGGAGTTAGTGTAGAAATAGTGTGGAGTTAGTGTGGAGTTAGTGTAGAGTTAGTGTGGAGTTAGTGTGGAGTTTGTGCAGAGTTAGTGTGGAGTTTGTGTAGAGTTAGTGTAGAGTTAGTGTGGATTTAGTAGTTATTGTGGAGTTAATGTGGAGTTTGTGTAGAGTTAGTGTGGAGTTAGTGTAGAGTTAGTGTAGAGTTAGTGTGGAGTTAGTGTGGAGTTAGTGTAGAGTTAGTGTGGAGTTAGTGTGGAGTTAGTGTGGAGTTAGTGTAGAGTTAGTGTACAGTTAGTGTAGAGTTAGTCTGGAATTAGTTTAGAGTAGAGTTAGTGTGGAGTTAGTGTAGAGTTAGTGTGGAGTTAGTGTAGAGTTAGTGTGGAGTTAGTGTAGAGTCAGGGTGGAGTTAGTGTAGAAATAGTGTGGAGTTAGTGTGGAGTTTGTGTAGAGTTTGTGTGGAGTTAGTGTGGAGTTAGTGTAGAGTTAGTGTGGAGTTAGTGTGGAGTTTGTGTAGAGTTAGTGTGGCGTTAGTGTGGAGTTAGTGTAGAGTTAGTGTGGAGTTAGTGTGGAGTTAGTGTAGAGTTAGTGTAGAGTTAGTGTACAGTTACTGTGGAGTTTGTGTAGAGTTAGTGTAGAGTTAGTGTGGAGTTAGTGTGGAGTTAGTGTGGAGTTAGTGTAGAGTTAGTGTGGAGTTTGTGTAGAGTTAGTGTGGAGTTAGTGAAGAGTTAGTGTAGAGTTAGTGTAGAGTTAGTGTAGAGTTAGTGTGGAGTTAGTGTAGAGTTAGTGTGGAGTTAGTGTGGAGTTAGTGTGGAGTTAGTGTGGAGTTTGTGTAGAGTTAGTGTGGAGTTTGTGTAGAGTTAGTGTGGAGTTTGTGTAGAGTTAGTGTGGAGTTTGTTCAAGTTCAAGTTCAAGTTTATTTATATAGCACGTTTAAGAACAACCATGATTGACCAAAGTGCTTAACAAAATTCAAGATAAAAAATAAACTAAAATAAAAATACACAAACAATACACAATATACAATAAAAATAAGCAACAATAGGTCAAGATATCAAAGCTCAACTTGAATTGAAAGCCAAGGCATAATAATGGGTCTTAAGCAAGGACTTGAATGTTACAATGGTCCGAGCTTTCCTTACATGAATAGGTAAACTATTCCAGAGGTGTGGAGCAGCCACTGCAAAGGCTCTGTCACCTTTATTCTTCAACCTAGATCTGGGCACATCGAGGAGCAACTGATCACAAGACCTCAGTGCTCTGACAGGTGTATGGAAATGTAAGAGCTCCGTTAAATAAGACGGTGACAACCCATTTAAAATTTTAAAAACCATTAATACAATTTTAAATTCAATCCTGAAACAAACAGGAAGCCAGTGCAGCGTGGCTAAGACTGGTGAAATATGGTCGCGCTTTTTAGTCCCGGTTAGAAGTCGAGCTGCTGCGTTCTGGACTAACTGTAACCGACGAAGGGATGACTGCTCCAATCCAACATACAAAGAATTACAGTAGTCTAAACGGGACATAATAAAAGCATGTATGACTCTTTCAAAGTCTTTGCGTAGCAGGTATTGCTTGACCTTCGCCAGAAGCCTCAGCTGAAAAAAACTGGTTTTAACAACTGAACTAATCTGTTTATCAAATTTAAAAGCATTATCAAAAATCACACCCAGATTCTTGGTAAAAGGTCGAACATGTGATCCTAAAATACCAAGAGCATCTACACAGACATTAAAATGTACCGCACGACCAAACACAACAATTTCAGTCTTATTATCATTTAGTGAGAGAAAGTTCTGATTCAACCAAATTTTTAGTTCACTCAAGCAGTTCAGCAAAGGCTGAAGATTATCCTTCTCATTGTTTTTTACAGGCAAATAAATTTGAACATCATCAGCAAAGCAGTGAAAAGAAATGTTATGTTTTTTAAAAATGGACCCTAATGGCAGCATGTACAAAGAAAAGAGCATAGGTCCCAAAATGAAACCTTGGGGGACCCCACAAGAAAGAGGAGCAACCAATGAAGAGCAATTCCCAAGGTGGACAGCAAAACTCCTATCTGCCAGATATGATTCAAACCATTTAAGGGCTAAGCCCGTAATGCCAACACTTTGTTTGAGCCGGGATAAGAGGATAGAGTGGTTGACGGTGTCAAAGGCAGAGCTCAAGTCTAAGAGCACTAAAACAGCAGATTTTCCTGAATCGACTGCTAAGAGAAGATCGTTATAAACTCTTAGAAGGGCAGTTTCGGTACTGTGGCGGGGTTTAAAACCAGACTGGAATTTTTCGTAAATACTAAATTCATCTAAAAATGATTGAAGTTGATTAAAAACTACCTTCTCCAAAACTTTAGATAAAAATGGAAGTTTAGAAATGGGTCTAAAATTAGACAAAACTGAAGGATCCAAATTTTTCTTTTTAAAAAGTGGTTGCACAACAGCATGTTTAAAAGCAGCTGGAACAACCCCTGAGCAGAGAGAAGCATTAATCATAGATAGAATACTAGGCCCAACAGTGTTAAAAACATCTTTGAATAAGCGAGCAGGGATACTGTCCAGCTGACAGTTTGCCGGACGAAGTTGCTTAACTGCGTCAGAGAGACCATGTAGCGTAACTGGCTCAAACTGCTGGAAGACAGCTGGGCATACTGTGTGAACAGAGGGGTCACTGGTAGAAGTAGGGGATGAAAAACTCTGGCCAGAAATTTTATCTATGAAGTATATCAGGAAGTTTTCACACAACAATGTGGATGGCACAGCACAGACAGTTTCACAAGGGTAAACAAGAGAATTAAACACTTTAAAAAGAACCTGAGGCCTCTGTGTATTATTTGCAACCAGGAGAGATAAAAACTGAGTTTTAGCAGATTTAACCGCTCCCCGGTATTTATGTAATGTGTCCTTTAAAATTTGAAATGAAACTTGGAGTTTGTCCTTTTTCCACTTTCTCTCAGCTGTTCTGCAGGCACGCCTGAGAGATCGGGTATGGTCATTTAACCAAGGTTCTGTTAGTGCTTTAGTGCGTTTAACCCTTAGTGGAGCAACAAAGTCAAGTATATCAATACAAATAGAATTAAAGAGATTAGTGTGTTCATCCACATTGAGATTACAATCTTCAAGATTGTACAGCACTGAGTCTTTAAAGGCAGCAGAAAACTGTGAGGCAGTTAAAGGGTTAATTGCACGCACACTGCGGTCCGAACAGGGGCCAACTACAGTAAATACAACAGGCAGATGATCCGACATACAAGTTTCACAAATTTCACTAATGGCCACATCTAAGCCATAAGACAGCACAAGGTCCAGAGTATGACCTTTTTCATGTGTCGGGCCAGTGACAGACTGCACAAGATTAAAAGAATCAATTAGATTAAGAAAATCCTTAGACAAAGGTCTGGATTCGCAACACACATGTATATTAAAATCACCAACAATTATAAAATGGTCATATTTCAATGCAATCCCAGCCACAAAGTCAGCAAAATTCTGAATAAAATCCTTGTTAAACTTAGGAGGTCTATACACCACCGCACATAGTATGATCGCAGGAAGATTAGTCTCAAACAGCTGCAGCTCAAAGCTAGAGCAACTGTCAAACGGAATCTCCCGACACTGAAAGGTACATTTAAAGAGTTTGTGTAGAGTTAGTGTGGAGTTAGTGAAGAGTTAGTGTGGAGATAGTGTGGAGTTAGTGTAGAGTTAATGTAGAGTTAGTGTAGAGTTAGTGTGGAGTTAGTGTGGAGTTAGTGTGGAGTTAGTGTAGAGTTAGTGTGGAGTTAGTATAGAGTTAGTGTGGAGTAAGTGTAGAGTTAGTGTGAAGTTTGTGTAGAGTTTGTGTAGAGTTAGTGTGGAGTTAGTGAAGAGTTAGTGAAGAGTTAGTGAGGAGATAGTGTGGAGTTAGTGTAGAGTTAGTGTAGAGTTAGTGTGGAGTTAGTGTAGAGTTAGTGTGGAGTTAGTATAGAGTTAGTGTGGAGTAAGTGTAGAGTTAGTGTGGAGTTAGTGTAGAAATAGTGTGGAGTTAGTGTGGAGTTAGTGTAGAGTTAGTGTGGAGTTAGTGTAGAGTTAGTGTAGAGTTAGTGTGGAGTTTGTGCAGAGTTAGTGTGGAGTTTGTGTAGAGTTAGTGTAGAGTTAGTGTGGAGTTAGTAGTTATTGTGGAGTTAATGTGGAGTTTGTGTAGAGTTAGTGTGGAGTTTGTGTAGAGTTAGTGTGGAGTTTGTGTAGAGTTAGTGTAGAGTTAGGGTGGAGTTAGTGTGGAGTTTGTGTAGAGTTAGTGTGGAGTTTGTGTAGAGTTAGTGTGGAGTTTGTGTAGAGTTAGTGTAGAGTTAGGGTGGAGTTAGGGTGGAATTAGTAGTTAGTGTGGAGTTAGTGTAGAGTTAGTGTGGAGTTAGTGTGGAGTTTGTGTAGAGTTAGTGTGGAGTTAGTGTGGAGTTAGTGTGGAGTTAGTGTAGAGTTAGTGTAGAGTTAGTGTAGAGTTAGTGTGGAGTTAGTGCAGAGTTAGTGTGGAGTTTGTGTAGAGTTAGTGTAGAGTTAGTCTGGAGTTAGTAGTTATTGTGGAGTTAATGTGGAGTTTGTGTAGAGTTAGTGTGGAGTTTGTGTAGAGTTAGTGTGGAGTTTGTGTAGAGTTAGTGTAGAGTTAGGGTGGAGTTTGTGTAGAGTTAGTGTGGAGTTTGTGTAGAGTTAGTGTGGAGTTTGTGTAGAGTTAGTGTAGAGTTAGGGTGGAGTTAGGGTGGAGTTAGGGTGGAATTAGTAGTTAGTGTGGAGTTAGTGTAGAGTTAGTGTGGAGTTAGTGTGGAGTTTGTGTAGAGTTAGTGTGGAGTTAGTGTAGAGTTAGTGTAGAGTTAGTGTGGAGTTTGTGCAGAGTTAGTGTGGAGTTTGTGTAGAGTTAGTGTAGAGTTAGTGTGGAGTTAGTAGTTATTGTGGAGTTAATGTGGAGTTTGTGTAGAGTTAGTGTGGAGTTTGTGTAGAGTTAGTGTAGAGTTAGGGTGGAGTTAGTGTGGAGTTAGTGTAGAAATAGTGTGGAGTTAGTGTAGAGTTAGTGTGGAGTTAGTGTAGAGTTAGTGTAGAGTTAGTGTGGAGTTAGTGTGGAGTTAGTGTGGAGTTAGTGTAGAGTTAGTGTAGAGTTAGTGTGGAGTTTGTGTAGAGTTAGTGTGGAGTTTGTATAGAGTTAGTGTGGAGTTAGTGTGGAGTTAGTGTGGAGTTAGTGTGGAGTTTGTGTGGAGTTTGTGTAGAGTTAGTGTCTGACCTTGGTGTGCTGCAGGATGGCTTGAGCTTGAGCTTCTTGAGCCGATATGACGGGACCCAGACGAGCATCACCACCAGACTGAAACTAACACACACACACACACACACACACACACACACACACACACACACACATAGGATTCAAACACAACGCATGATATGATCCGGACCAGACTCACATATGAACCGGTTGACTTTAAAACAATAGTGTATTTGTCAATTCAAACGGCAAGCGAAGTTCCAAAACAAACGTCACGTGATTGACCGACAGTCAGGGACACACACCGGTAACATCAGCAGGTTGCCTGGAGGTCCAGGTATCCCATCAGCCCCTGCAAGTCCTTGACGGCCCTCAGGACCCTGGTGAGAGACAGACAGTGTAAGAGTGTGTGATATCAGCCATCAGCCTGGCGATCATGACGAGTGTGTGTCCGTGTGTCTCACCGGGTCTCCTGGATCTCCGATCGGCCCCGGGGGGCCCATTGGACCGTGTTCACCCGGCGGCCCCTGCGGGAAACAAGCCTGTCACTCACACACACACATGACACATGGTCCACACAGAGAGGGTGTATGGCGGGTGAGGTTACCTCGGCTCCAGGCAGGCCCGGGGGGCCCGTGACCAGAGTCCCCTGTCCCAGCAGCGCCGGCTCTCCCTTCTCCCCCTTCTCTGGGCCGAGGGCCGACTGCAGGACACACTTCATACCGTCACATATCTCCTTCATTTACTCTCAGTCTCACAGTCGAGTTTTTCTCAATGAAAACTATTTCAAAGTTTAAAGATTAGTTTTTAAAACTAGTCATATTTTAGTCATACAGCGTAATGGTTAAACTGATGATCATCATGGTTATTTTGCTCTAAATTGTAATAATCTCGATTACTGAAATCAGTTATTGCTCTTTCACCTACAAGCACAGACCAAGAGAACGTCTGTAGCGTCGACCTGATGGCATTCACTGAAGGATTGGTTAAGGGTGTGTGTGTGATCCTGTGTGATTGCAGTGGCTTTCCTCAGTACTGCCCGGGTGTGAAGATCTGTTAAGGGAGTTTGAGGGGAGCCTATTGTCTCACGGGCTGTTAGAGGATAGATTGTTTGTGTAAACAGAGAAAAGAGCAGGAGATGAAGCACATCCTCGGGGAGGCCAGTGTTTAGAAGCTGTCTCCTAGAACTAAACCCGTTCACACACACCTGTTGTGGTCTGTCCTGTAAAAAGATCTTAATCCATAAAATCAGTTTTGGGTGGACCTGAAGCTCGATTTATTACACACACACACACACACACACACACACACACACACGCTAGATTTATTACAGGTGATTTTTTTCGTCTTAGTTCGTCTTTTCGCAACAATATTGCATGTTAATATAGCCATAGTTAGTGTTTCACGAGTTTACATGTTAATGAAATCAGATGTAATATTATAATGCGTATTTGGCTTGCTGTCCGGGGGGAGGGCTCCGAGCTCAGAATTCGGCCCGACCCAGAGTACTCCCCCCATAACCTTAGAGATCATAGGTAACTATGAGCGGACCCAGCCGAATGTGGGGTGAAGGGGTGGTGGTGGGATGCTGAGAAATTAGTCATGAGACAGGAGGTAAGGGAAGGCTTTATTTATACTGGCTCTTCTTCTTGCGCTGATTGGATGATTACCTGAACATGCTCCTCCCGAACTTTGTTACATAAAACTTCATTTAATGATGTCGATGTTGTTCTGTTGTTTTAGTCATTTTCGTCACATCAGACAGAAGGATGAGAGAGACCCAGAGAGAGAGAGAGAGAGAGAGAGAGAGAGAGAGAGGGAGAGAGAGAGAGAGAGAGAGGAGAGAGAGAGAGAGAGAGAGAGAGAGAGAGAGAGAGAGAGAGAGAGAGAGAGAGAGAGAGAGAGAGAGAGAGAGGGAGAGAGAGAGAGGGAGAGAGAGAGAGGGAGAGAGAGAGAGAGAGAGAGAGAGAGAGAGAGAGAGAGAGAGAGAGAGAGAGAGAGAGAGAAGAGAGAGAGAGAGAGGAGAGAGAGAGAGAGGGAGAGAGAGAGAGAGAGAGAGAGAGAGAGAGAGAGGGAGAGAGAGAGAGAGAGAGAGAGAGAGAGAGAGAGAGAGAGAGAGAGAGGAGAGAGAGAGAGAGAGAGAGAGAGAGAGAGAGAGAGACAGTACCTGTCCACTGAAGAACTGCTCCTGTCTCTCTGCCGGCCGGAAGTCGTACTCGTCGTACTCGTGATACTCAGTGTACTCCTTAAAATACTCCGTCTCGTTCTCAGAGTCCTCGTACTCCACTATCTGACACACACACACACACACACACACACACACACACACACACACACACACACACACACACACACACACACACACACAGCATTAGAACATCACTGTACAACTACTCAGAGCAGATCCTATGTCAAAACCTTCTACATGGCCGTTCACACCAATAATGATAACTAAAGATAGAAAGTATAACTATAGTGATAACCATATTAGCGTCCACACCTTTTAGTATTCTCAGCCATAGTCATTTTTGGATAAGACATATCTGAGGATAGTCGTTATCTCGGAGAAGGCTTCGACTAAGAAGAAGTCCTGACACCGAGGCTATCTGGCTTCTGAGGGTGGCCCCCTCCGGGCAGAGACGGGTTCGAGAATCCGTGTCTCCTCGGCGCCCTCTGGGGGCGACTCTCTGAGGAGGGTCGCAGCGCTGCCAGTTCGGTTATTCCCTGCCGGTTCGCCGTTACAGGGCACCGAAGTGGCTGTTCGACCAGTACCAGAAGCCAGTCTTGAGAGACTGGTCCCCTTAGTAGATTTTCTGGCAGAGTGGAAGCTCATCCCTCAAAGGCTATGACTTGGATCTAGGCTCCACTCCGGGGTCTAGGGTGCTTGCTTCTTAGTGTGCGCAATGACTTCACACAGAACAGGCATTTGTCATATGGCGTAGTGGGTATAGTGTTCCCACAGCGTCTCGACGCAGCTCGAGTTCCCTTGAAAGGGAACATCTCAGGTTCCCTGATACTCCCTGCATGCCTGTGATCGACTTGCTTCGGCCTATCAGAAGCTGGTGCGGTCTGTTGTCAGGTGTGCTTTATAGTCTCCTGGTCGATGACGTCACCCGCCTATGACGTCTCGTCTCTCCATTGGCCTGATTACACATCCGCTTCACGACACACTCACGCGTTCCCACAGCGTCTCCACGCAGCGTCTCGTCTCTCCATTGGCCTGATTACACACGCGCTTCACGACACACTCACGCGGGGCGTTCCCACAGCGTCTCCACGCAGCGTCTCGTCTCTCCATTGGTCTGATTACACACGCGCTTCACGACACACTCACGCGGGGCGTTCCCACAGCGTCTCCACGCAGCGTCTCGTCTCTCCATTGGCCTGATTACACACGCGCTTCACGACACACTCACGCGTTCCCACAGCGTCTCCACGCAGCGTCTCGTCTCTCCATTGGCCTGATTACACACGCGCTTCACGACACACTCACGCGGGGCGTTCCCACAGCGTCTCCACGCAGCGTCTCGTCTCTCCATTGGCCTGATTACACACGCGCTTCACGACACACTCACGCGTTCCCACAGCGTCTCCACGCAGCGTCTCGTCTCTCCATTGGCCTGATTACACACACGCTTCACGACACACTCACGCGGGGCGTTCCCACAGCGTCTCCACGCAGCGTCTCGTCTCTCCATTGGCCTGATTACACACGCGCTTCACGACACACTCACCCGTTCCCACAGCGTCTCCACGCAGCGTCTCGTCTCTCCATTGGCCTGATTACACACGCGCTTCACGACACACTCACGCGGGGCGTTCCCACAGCGTCTCCACGCAGCGTCTCGTCTCTCCATTGGCCTGATTACACACGCGCTTCACGACACACTCACCCGTTCCCACAGCGTCTCCACGCAGCGTCTCGTCTCTCCATTGGCCTGATTACACACACGCTTCACGACACACTCACGCGGGGCGTTCCCACAGCGTCTCCACGCAGCGTCTCGTCTCTCCATTGGCCTGATTACACACGCGCTTCACGACACACTCACGCGGGGCGTTCCCACAGCGTCTCCACGCAGCGTCTCGTCTCTCCATTGGCCTGATTACACACGCGCTTCACGACACACTCACGCGTTCCCACAGCGTCTCCACGCAGCGTCTCGTCTCTCCATTGGCCTGATTACACACGCGCTTCACGACACACTCACGCGTTCCCACAGCGTCTCCACGCAGCGTCTCGTCTCTCCATTGGCCTGATTACACACGCGCTTCACGACACACTCACGCGGGGCGTTCCCACAGCGTCTCCACGCAGCGTCTCGTCTCTCCATTGGCCTGATTACACACGCGCTTCACGACACACTCACCCGTTCCCACAGCGTCTCCACGCAGCGTCTCGTCTCTCCATTGGCCTGATTACACACGCGCTTCACGACACACTCACGCGGGGCGTTCCCACAGCGTCTCCACGCAGCGTCTCGTCTCTCCATTGGCCTGATTACACACGCGCTTCACGACACACTCACCCGTTCCCACAGCGTCTCCACGCAGCGTCTCGTCTCTCCATTGGCCTGATTACACACGCGCTTCACGACACACTCACGCGTTCCCACAGCGTCTCCACGCAGCGTCTCGTCTCTCCATTGGCCTGATTACACACGCGCTTCACGACACACTCACGCGGGGCGTTCCCACAGCGTCTCCACGCAGCGTCTCGTCTCTCCATTGGCCTGATTACACACGCGCTTCACGACACACTCACCCGTTCCCACAGCGTCTCCACGCAGCGTCTCGTCTCTCCATTGGCCTGATTACACACGCGCTTCACGACACACTCACGCGGGGCGTTCCCACAGCGTCTCCACGCAGCGTCTCGTCTCTCCATTGGCCTGATTACACACGCGCTTCACGACACACTCACCCGTTCCCACAGCGTCTCCACGCAGCGTCTCGTCTCTCCATTGGCCTGATTACACACGCGCTTCACGACACACTCACGCGGGGCGTTCCCACAGCGTCTCCACGCAGCGTCTCGTCTCTCCATTGGCCTGATTACACACGCGCTTCACGACACACTCACGCGTTCCCACAGCGTCTCCACGCAGCGTCTCGTCTCTCCATTGGCCTGATTACACACGCGCTTCACGACACACTCACGCGTTCCCACAGCGTCTCCACGCAGCGTCTCGTCTCTCCATTGGCCTGATTACACACGCGCTTCACGACACACTCACGCGGGGCGTTCCCACAGCGTCTCCACGCAGCGTCTCGTCTCTCCATTGGCCTGATTACACACACGCTTCACGACACACTCACGCGGGGCGTTCCCACAGTGTCTCCACGCAGCGTCTCGTCTCTCCATTGGCCTGATTACACACGCGCTTCACGACACACTCACCCGTTCCCACAGCGTCTCCACGCAGCGTCTCGTCTCTCTATTGGCCTGATTACACACGCGCTTCACGACACACTCACGCAGGGCGTTCCCACAGCGTCTCCACGCAGCGTCTCGTCTCTCCATTGGCCTGATTACACACGCGCTTCACGACACACTCACGCGTTCCCACAGCGTCTCCACGCAGCGTCAGTTCCCTCTCAGGGAACCAGAGTTACAGTCGTAACCTGAGACGCTTTCTCATTGTTTGGAAATTATGACATTTATTTTTTGGTGAACTATTCTTTCAATTCTGATTTGGTAATTCTTCTTCTAAAATGCTGCTTTATGCATATTTATTTATAATATAAATACATTTCAATAATTTAAATAAAAGGAAATGAACTTAAAACTTCCATGACTTATGTGAGCATGACTGACTGGCTAGTTATTCACATTAGGATAGAGAAACATACCATTTATATTTTATAATCAGTGAGGAAAGATTTAGGTCCTGATGATATACTGTACGTCACTTGAACTTTTAAGACTATATGAAATTTTAATGGAGGTAAAAGTAACACTAACCAAGTAGATGTAACTGAGTAAAAGTACAAGTTAGGGTTACTTTTATAAACTATTACTCACACACACACACACACACACACACACACCTCGTACTCGGTGGCATTGTCTCCTGCAGTTGATTCAGACAGGTCATTGTAAAGGTCATTGTAAAGGTCATCGTCAAACTCTTCTTCAATTGGTTTCCTCGGCGGCTTCTTGACCTGCGTTACCATGACAACAGACACCATACAAACACACATTAGTAACAACACAAAACTGTCATGATAGAGCGCAACAGTGACGCCCACTTTTATACAGTATTTTTCCATTCATTTTTCTCAAAAAATCTTTCTTAAAACTTCATAATCCATAAAACAAAGCAACCTTTGATTCTTCACAACATTACAAACTCTGATCTAAAGCAAAAAAGTGTTTGAATATTGTGAAGATACAAGACTGTGAATGTACCGGCTTTAGTGAGGGAAAGAACTACAATCCCATGAAGCATTGCAACAGGAGTTCCTCTGGTGCTCTTCGGTCATTTTCGACTGATAAACTTTACATTTCGTATTTTTACTGCAGCCGAACACACTCTCACTGAACGCTCATTACTGAGAGATCAAGCTCACATGCGGAACACAACTTGTTTAGAATTATGGCTTTGATTTTCTCTGTTTTTTTTAAATATATATTTAATATAACAATTTTAAAATAGTATTTTTGCACATTTTTAATAACAATTTTTTTTTTTTAAATCAACTTTTTACAACTTTTTTCACTTCAGCAATAATCTGCCGAGTGTCGTCTTTGAAAAGAGCTCAAACTTCAGTCTGTCGCTTTAAAGCATTCAATATTTACCACAGTTTAATTTGGAAATTAAATTTTCAGGTCTATGCTCAAAAAGTGAATAAATAGATTATAAATACAGCGTAAATATAATTTAGTACCATAAAATCCCCTAAAAATATTAAATATTAAATAAAAAAAACTAAAATATAGTACATTAATTACATTGATAGAAAAAAAAACGATCATTTTTGACTGACACGCGAACAACACCAGAGGGTTAAAAGGTGATTACCTAAAAAATAAGCAGATATGATGAGGGTTAATGCTTCAACAAAAGCAAATACCATTGATTAACACTCTCTTAGCTCGTCTTTATAACGCTTGATGAGTTATTGAGTTATTTATGAGCTGTAAATCAGACGTACAGTGGCTTTAGGGTGTATAATATAAACACTGGCTCCAGTCCCTGACAACATGTTCAACACTGCTCTCCAAACCCAGCCAAAGTCCAGACGAGAGCATCAGAGACAGAGCTGGCGGTGTTTCACTCATTATCTATGCAGAAACACTGCTGAATATGCATGAGCTGTGCTGTGGGCGGGGCTACCTCCACGGGGTCCAGTGATAGGCTGTTGTACAGGAGGGCGGAGTCACAGTCAGGAATGTGTGTGTGGCAGTAATCAGCAGCAGCTCTGGGGTCTGGAGAGATTAACAGCTGCTGAATCTCACCCTGAAACACACACACACACACACACAAACACACACACACACACACACACACACACACACACATCAACGATCTGATAAACGACGTCTGCTGATGATGCTGAGACAGATTAACCCTCCTCTCGGGTCTCGGGTTGATCTGACCTGCACTGGATTTTAAATGTTTAAAACACTAAATAAACTTGAGATTTTGTGTGTTTTTTTCTCATTTAGAGTCAAGAATATGCATGCAAAATTTATCAATTTTGTGTTTTGGAAAGGCTGGATACACGGATGGTGTTTAGTGTCCATGTGAAATCAACCCTTTAAAAACCAGGCAATAAAACAGAAAGCCTTTCAAAGACTAAAATATTAAATACACCAGAACTTATGAAATTTAAGACTTAAGTCACAAAAGTCTGTAAAAGTATGTTTTTGGTTGTTAGTTTTTGGGATCTCAATTATTAAGACTGAAAAAAACATTTTATCCTCACAAGAGTTCGAGAAGCAGACAAAACAAGAAGGCGGAGGATATTTACACTCATTACAAATAATGTTAGATACTAATTTTACACTTTTATACTTTTTATTGTGTTAAACTGACCCCTAACACAAAGGGTAAGACTTTTTTTTAACACATTAGAAATCCATAATTTCTCATATTTCATATTTTTTGCGACTTATTGTCACTTATTTTTTCATAAGTGTCTGATAAGTTACAGTGCTTATCAGACACTTATGAAAATAGGCCGATTATTATATAGAATATAACTCAATTTAACACAGTTCTGTCTTAATGTCTTTACTTTCATGCAGCATCACTCAACAATAAACATAGGAACTTTTTTGTTTGTTAAAAATACCTTTTTTATGTTTACAGTTTGCTATTACAAAACTAGTGAATGCTTTCAATCCAGAAAAATATTTTACATGTAAAAATGAGAAATATGTGAAAATTGTGGATAAATACACACATATATAAATACAAATATATAGACTAACGTTCAAAAATTTGGGGTCAGTGAGATAAACAAAAAAGAAAAGAAATTAACACTTTTATTCATCAAGGACGCATTAAATCGATCACAAGTTACAGTAAACATTGATAATGTTACAAAAGATTCTGTTTCTAATAAATGCTGTTCTTTTGAACTTTCTATTCATCAAAGAATCCTGCAAAATAGAATGTACAACGGTTTCCAAATAAAATTATTAATCAAAGACGCATGTGACGCTGAAGACTGGAGTAATGCTGGAATTCAGCTTTGATCACAGGAATACATTACACTTTACTATATATTCACATAGAAAACAGCTGATTTACACTGGAGTAATATTTCACTGTATTTTACTGTATTTTTGATCAAATAAACTTAGCTTTGAGCAGAAGAGACAGTAAAAGAGCAGACTCTTGAACAGTAGTGTGTCCATGAGGCTCTCCATTCGCTGCTCTTGATCATGTGACCTCACTGACCCCGTCTGTGATCAATCCTCACCTCAAACACTTCTTCATCCAGAAGCCTCGTCCCGAACACTGTCACTCCCTCTGTGCTGACCCTGGGCCCCGGCCCTCGAGGGAGGTCAAGGGTCGCCACCTTCTGACAGTCCAGGTACAGCGTGACCTTCTGACCCTCCACGCTGTAGGCCACTCGGTGCCACCTGTAGGTCACAGTTCATCTCACATCTCCATACAACAACTTATGACCATCCTCTCATCGTGTCATCCTCCTTCAGACATGCATGACTTTCTTTCTTCTGGGAAACACAAATAAGTTTTTTTCTGAACTGAACTGAATCAACACTGAACTGAATCAACACTGAACTGAATCAACATTGAACTGAATCAACACTGAACTGAATCAACACTGAACTGAATCAACACTGAACTGAATCAACACTGAACTGAAACACTGAACTGAATCAACACTGAACTGAAACACTGAACTGAATCAACACTGAACTGAACTGAACTGAATCAACACTGAACTGAATCAACACTGAACTGAATCAACACTGAACTCATCTGATCTGAATAATGACTCTATTGTCTTTTTAGAGCTGCTTTACAGCTGAAATTGAATTCGTTTGATATCTGATTATTTTTACAACATTAATAGTTATTTTCCTGTTTATTACCGTGAAGCTCCTTTGAATCATACATATTGTATAAAGCGCAATAGAAATATAGCAGACTTGACTTGAGATGTTCACAGATGTTAGTTTGAGTTCGTTCCACACAAAGCATCATATGAATTCAGAAGAGTCATATTTACCACCTTTATGATTCTTTAATGGCATTTTGAAGTTGCCATTTCATTATATGGCAAAGAATGGATCAGATATTCTTAAAAAAATCATCTTTTGTGATTCACAGAAGAAAAAAAAGTCAAATAATTATGAATATTCACATTACTTACATATAACATCCAATTACAAAACTTGTGTCCTGTTCTAACTAGCTGTAGATTCAGATTCACTGAAAAAAATGATTGATGTTCTTCCTCAGTATTTCTGCCTTGCTTTCCAGCACAAATATCTAAACATTCTTAAATCAAGATAAATTTACTGGGTACCACCTGATGATATCTGGCTGAAAGCTACGGTTACCTTAAGGGGTAATCGATGAAAGCACCCAACAGGTGTATTCCACAATGTAAAGTCTGGTTGGCCAGTGGCATCCAGGAAAGACTGGGTGTCAACCCAGAAAGATTGGTGGCGCTGGAGAGACAGCTGACCTCCAGGAAAGACTGGCGCAGGTACACCAGGCTCGTACCCTTGTGTGCAGCACTCGCAAGAGGACACCACTCAAGCTGCGAATGATCAAGATAAGTAATACCCCCAGAGTCCCCCGAGAGGGGGAAGGATGAGAGACTCGGGACAGTCACACTGGTAATGGCTAGGATAGGAAATATGACTACAAGACAAACATCTTTGACTGGACAGGATCTCATAACAAGATGCCATTGCGGCAAAGTTTGCAAAAACATCAGAGGGCTCAAGATAGCCAAGAGCAAGTCCAGGTGTGGAGCATCAGTGACTCAAGTGCAACGCACGGATCTAATGTCCCACAGAGCTGAAGATCTCTTCGCACTCGAGTCGCCCCAGCACCAGCGACACAGTCAAGTGAGCCCCTCTCCAGTCTCCCCTATCCATTCGTTGAGGAAAGAGAGGATCAAATGGCCAAAAGCATCAGACAACACCACATGGACACAGTTCGACGATGACCTAGATGGCATCCTAGATGCCGCTCTAATGGGTCCAGTCCACAGGAAAATCGACTCGCTCACAACCATCACATACAACCCTGCCAAAGAACGATTTGGCCCAATCAAGCAGAGAGAAAAGCCCCAACCACCTCGGCATAAGGGATAACCTGCGGCCCCGTCCTGGAGTCAGGCATCATTCAGCCGGTTCTGCAGGGTTTCATGGACGACCTAACAGTAACAACTGTGAAGCATGTCCAAGCGAGATGGGTACTGGAAACCCTGGACAAAGTAGCCGCTTGGGCAAGGTTGTCATTCAAGGCCAGGAAGTCCAGAAGGAGTGATCAGGAAGGGCCGAGTCACGAGTAAGTTTAGTCTCCAAGTTCAAGGCAAGGTCATTCCATCCATTGAGGACAGCCCTATAAAGTGCTTGGGAAAGTGGTTCAATGCATCACTGAAAGATGGTGGCAATGTTGCAGACGCTGTCAGACCGAAGAATGGTTGAAGAAGATCGACAGGTCCGGACTCCGGACTCTTCTTTGGGCCTCTGCACCCGTTCAGGACCCTCTGTCATCTGTCGTGGAAGGGTTCAAGGTGGCAAAATACAGAGTCGCGCTAAGTCTGAGAGATTCCAAAGACGTCCGGGTAAAGCAAGCAGGCATCACAACAAGATCAAGCCGTAAATGGGCCATTAATGTAGCCATTGAACAGGCTGAAAGCTTGCTGAAGTTGCGTGACATCATTGGTAATCCCTGCATAGGACGTCAAGGCCTGGGGTCACCACATTCCCAAAAGTTTGGGAATGCAAGCAAAACGACCAAGCAAGGCATGGTCCAGTCAGAGATCCGAGCTCAAGAGGATCCGAGCGTTTGTCTAGAGCAGTGGAACAAGCATCCCAGGGAGCGTGGACAAACTGGGATCTGTCCAAGCGTAAGATCACATGAGCAGAGTTGTGGCGACTGGAGCCCTACCGCATCTCCTTTCTCCATATACGACACCCTTCCTTCACCGCCTAACTTGCACAAATTGGGGCTGAGGGACGACCCGTGCTGCAAGCTCTGTGGTCAAAAGGGGACACTGGCACACATATTGTCAGGGTGCAAAACATCTTTAACCCAAGGTCGATATAGGTGGCGCCACGACAAGCTGCTTCGGTCCCTCGCCGACACACTTGAGCAAGAGACGTGCAAGAAGAGGCCAGGTCTCACAGACGAGAGGAAAACTATCACCTTCATCAAGGAGGGAGCCAGACCCTTCACATCCAGGGCATCAGCAAAATCCAAAATCCGAGCTCTTGGGAAATGAGAGTCGTTGTCAGAAGGATGCTGTAGTTCCTGGAGGTGGTCCACACAGCTCTTCGCCCAGACATCGTCCTGTGGTCAGCCAAAGGCCGTAAAATCCTCCTAATCGAGCTGACCGGGTCCATGGGAGGAGGGCTGTGAGGAAGGCCTTGGAATATCAGCCTTTGATCCATGTGCAAAGACAAGGGATGGAAGGCATGGCTTTTCCCTGTGGAGGTGGGGTGAAGAGGCTTTCGGCTGCTGTCAGCTTTAGGTAAGGACGAGAGAGCAAGAAGCTGCTCGTAGGATGGGAGAAGAGGCTGAACGAGCTTCATGCTGGATGTGGAGTAAGAGAGAGGAACAGCTGGAAGCCAGGAGCAGATGGGCAGGGATTTGGCCACCACTGCCGACCCACCAACTGGAGAGTGTTGTGGTTAAGGGTCGAAACACTCAAGGAAGGTTGGGTACCACCTGATGATATCAGCTTCTGGCTAAGAGCTACGGTTGCTTAAGGGGTAATCGATGAAAGCACCCAACAGGTGTATTCCACAAAATAATGGAGAAGAAGCAAAATTTTTCAGGTGTGATTGAATTTATTCAGCTACTAAAAGTGTTTGATGACAGAAGAGCTGCTGAGATCAAGCTGGTCATGTGACCTCAGGATGAGCCTGTGATGATGAACGATGATGTGATGTCACTCACTTGCCGTCCGCCAGGTTGATCTTCTTGAATGTGGGGTAGAGGTCAGGCGTGGGCTGGCCGTTCTGGTCCTCGTAGAGGAAGACGGGTGAGCGTCCAAGCTCCAGTCCGAGCTGTTGAACTCCCTCACTGTCATACACCGACAGCAGGAAACACTGAGCGCCACGCCGAGCCCGAACCGTCACCAGAACCGAGAAATCCTCCGGGAACACGGCGTCTGAACACACAAATACCACAAATACAGTGAAAGATTATTCCAGTGTAAATCAGCTGTTTTCTATGTGAATATAAGTGTAATTTATTCCTGTGATCAAAGCTGTATTTGCAGCATCATTACTCCAGTCTTCAGTGTCACATGATCCTTCAGAAATCACTCTAATATGATGATCTGATGCTCGAGAAACATTTATGATTATAATAATATCAATGTTGAAAACAGTTAATGTTTTTCTGGAAAAGGTGATATATTTTATTTATCAGGATTCTTTGATGAATAGAAAGTTCTAAAGAACAGCATTTATTTGAAATATAATCTTTTTTTAACATTATAAATGTCTTTACTGTCGATCGATTTAATGCATCCTTGATGAATAAAAGTATTGATTTCAATAATCTTATTGATATATTTTTATATATATATTTTTAAAAAACTGTATAAATAAAGCAAAAAAAGTTTTTTTGTCAGGGTTAGTGTGTGTATGTGTGTGTGTGCGTGTGTGTTTGTGCGTGCGTGAGTGTGTGTGTGTGTGTATGTGTGTGTTACATACCTGGGAAAAGCTGATTGGTCGGAACACTGACTTGGATTTTCTTCTCAATCTTATAAGCGAGGTCCGCCTCCTCGGAGCCCCGCCTACTGGTGCAAAGCCCCGCCTCCAGGGACACGCCCTCCATGGAGTCTGACAGCTCCAGGACCTTCAGCACATCGATGGGTTCGGCTGCTGGAGACACGACACTTCAGTTACTTTAATAAAGTCTAATGAACAGCCTCACATCTGTCTGTCTGTCTCGACACACTGACACTGATGACTGACAGCAGGGGAAAGCCGATCGCGACTGTGTGTGTGTGTGTGTGTGTGTGAAGGTATCTACATGCAGGTCTGGACTGGTCATGTGTCTCTTCACATGTGTAATACCTGCATCTGTGGCACACACACTCAAACACACACACTCAAACACACATACACACACACACACACACAGAAACATCTCTCATCTCTCAGCACAAAATCTTAACTCATTTGGAAAGACTTTCACAACAACCTATAGATCAAAGACACAACAGCAGCTGCAGGGGAGTGTGTGTGTGTGTGTGTGTGTGTGTGTGTCTGGGAGCCAGATGTGAATGACGACACAAGGGTGAATTAAGAAATGCAGTCCAGACTCTCAGACATTTTACATTTGTCTTTTTATGAAGGGCTTCTTTCTCACACACACACACACACACACACACACACACACACACACACACACACACACACACACACACACACACACACACACACACACACACACACACACACACACACACACACACACACACACACACACACACACACACACGCACACGCACACGCACACGCACACGCACACGCACACGCACAGTAAACTGAACTAAAGGTTGTAAGACAGGTGCGTTTGCAGCGTTACTAAAAGTGTCTGTAAACTCCTGTGACCCCGATGACCTTCACCTTTGACCTTTCACTTTCTCTCCTGACTCAGTTTCAGACTCTCTCTGTTTAGGCAGTTTCAGAGTCACGGTAATTTCCCACTTCAACACTCAATAAGACGAAGATCTTCAGCGTTTCCTGGAGTTGGACAGTCGGCACAGCAAGCAATCATTTACGAGGAGAGTCTTCATAAGAAAGCCATTCATCGTTTGTAATGACTCGAGGGTGAACGCACGAGGAAAGAACACTTACAAGTTACAGCTGTAGGAAAACCGTGGTAAATCGTTCTTAGAGCGTTTTGCTAATGATCAACTGTGTAGTGGTGAAAACAAGTTTCTTGTCCACTGTGGGAGATGCTGATGCTATGGTTCTAACGCGTGCAAAGTACCATGAATAGATCCAGAGAGGCGTGTTGATGTTCCAAACAAATAACTGAAGTTTATTAAATCAAAAATAAAGATGCATTGTAACATAAAACAAAACAAACAACTTTTAGGCCGCTTGCAGGTTTGTTGCACCATGCCACCCTAGCTCCATGTGCACGGTCAAAAGACTGTGTGCTCTTGCACCAGCGCCCCCTTCCTGTCAGGGGTGGCCTATCCTTTATACAACTTTTCCCCTCTCACCTATAGAGGGCACACACTCAGGGAAATAAACAATTAATAATACAACAACATTCTGATATTTAAATTAACAAATTTATCAAAATTAAATAAGGTGGTAAGTATGGCTCCTACACCCGGCCCCTAATTGAGCGTTTAAGCAACAATTACAATACATTAAATGTAAATGGAGCCAAATGAGTCTATACAAGAAAATGAATACTCATTCTTTAATCATTCAGTCATCACTACTATGCTTCAGATCTAATTTTCTGCATCTTCCAATAGCAGGCAAAGTTTGGTAATGGGTCTTTCCAAGAATCCAGTCTTTGTCTTAAGTTTAACAGTTCTTATGAGTCCTTTGGAATCAGGAAAAACTTCTGTTACTCTTCCAATAGGCCACGATCCACGAGGTGCTGAACTGTCCACGACTAGCACAATATCTCCTTTCTGCAATCCTCTTTTTGCAGTAAACCATTTCTGTCGTTCCTGTAGTAATGGTAAGTATTCTTGGGACCATCTCTTCCAAAACAGGTCTGACAAATATTGTACTTGCCTCCACCGACGTCTGCTGTATACGTCTGAACTTTGAAACAATCCAGGAGGCAATGCAGGGCTAGACTTTAACAGAAGAATGTGATTTGGTGTCAAAGGTTCCAGATCATGATGGTCATCAGACAATGTGGTAATGGGACGACTATTCAGAATTGCTTCAATCTCACAAAAGTGTGTTTGTAGTCCTTCATCATCGAGGGTGTGTTGTTGTAAAATAGAGCATAAGATCTGCCTCACCATTCGAATGAGTCTCTCCCATACTCCCCCATGATGTGAGGCTGCTGGAGGATTAAACGTCCACTGAATTCCTTTCTGGAGCATTGCCTTCTGGATTCGGCTTTTGTTCCATTCTGAAAGTGAATTATGTAACTCTCTTTTTGCACCAACCAGGTTAGTTCCGTTATCAGAGCGAATATGCAGTACTTGGCCCCTTCTGGCTATGAATCTTCTTAAAGCGTCAATGCAGGAATCTGTGTTCAGTGAGTGAGCCATTTCTAGGTGAACTGCCCTGCTTGTCATGCAAGTGAAAATAACCCCATATCTCTTTACCTGACTTCTTCCTCTTTTTGTCATGAAAGGTCCAAAGTAGTCAACGCCAACATTGCTGAAAGGTGGAAGATCAGCTTGTAGTCTTTCCTTTGGTAAATCTGCCATCTTTTGCTCTCCAATCTTTCCTCTTACACGCTTGCATACAACACATTTAGACAAAACTTTACGGGCTGCAGAATTGGCATTTATAATCCAATATTTCTTTCTCAGGTGTGAGAGAACATGATTTCTGCCAGCATGTCCGAGCTGTTCGTGTATGTGTTGAAGGATAAGTGTGGAGATGTGAACATCTTTTGGAAGTATTATAGGTCGCTTGGTCTCCTCAGGCATTGCAGACTTGTCCAACCTTCCTCCAACCCTCAAAACTCCATCGTCCATCACAGGATCTAGCTTGTACAGGCTGCTGAATCTATTCAAGCGCTTTCCAGCAGGTGATGTCTTTCCAATTCTTGACATTTCCTCTGCATACCTTTGTTTCTGCCAAAACTCAACAATGGCCTTTTCTGCTTTCAAGAGATCATCCAAGCCTATGGATTGTCCACAAAGTGATGTCTTGAATATTTTCATTTCATTACATACATTGTTTTGGCTCTGAGTGTCCTTATTCACGCAGGTGGCCTGTATCTCTTTTCTTTTTGCAATAAGCAAGCGAAGGATATTCTTGAACTTCAAGAACCATGCTACTGCCAACTTTAGCTTTGTCCAAGTTGAGAAATAGTTAAGCAGTTGGCTGGTAGGATTTTCATTCTCTTTAATGACAGTACTATAAACAGTGGTGTTCCTTTTAACTTCAAGGTCATCGAGAGAGAGAGACATGGGTCCCAGGGACTCTTTAGGCCATTCCTCTTCTTTCTTCCATAGAAAGTCTGGTCCATGGATCCACTCTTTGCACTTCACCAATGTGCTGGCACTAACCCCTCTTGATGCTAGGTCAGCTGGGTTCTGCTTTGTTCTGATGAATTTCCACTGTTTTACATCTGTGTTTCCTCTAATAACAGAGATCCTATTAGCTACAAATGTGCGGAATCTTGCATTCTCATTTGCAACGTATTTCAGCACTGACTGACTATCAGTCCAAAATGTTGAGCCTTTGAGATCTAGCTCCAAAGCTTTCCTTACCATAATGTCGACTCTGACTGCTAGCACTGCAGCTGTAAGTTCTAGACGTGGAATTGTGACGTGCTTAAGTGGGGCCACTCTGGCTTTCCCCAACATGAAAGACACATGTACAGTGTGCATATCATCAGTCAGTCTCAAGTAACTCACTATGCCGTATCCTTGTTCACTAGCATCAGAGAAATGATGCAGCTCTGCTTGCTTCAGCATTCCAAAACCAGTTGGCTTTACACAGCGTGCCACTCTGAAATCTTCTATCTCGTCAAGATCCTTTATCCACTTTGTCCACTTATCCACTGCAGCCTGTGGTATTTCCTCATCCCAACCACATTTACTCCTACAGAGGTCTTGGATAAGCAATTTGGCAGGTAGAGTAAAGGGACTCAAAAATCCAAGTGGATCATAGATGGAGCTCACAACTGATAGCAAGTTTCTTCGGGTGTGGGATTTGCACTTGACAGTGATATTGAACTTAAACACATCATTCTCCACGCACCACAACAATCCAAGAGCTCTTTCAGTGGGAAGCTTTTCCCTGTCGAGATCCACTTCCCTTACATTCTGAGCTCTGTCTTCCTTTGGAATATGTGCAAGAACAGTACGACTGTTACTCACCCATTTTGTGAGGTGGAATCCTCCTGTTTGACAGAGAGATGTTAGATCTTTCACCAATTCTACTGCTTCATGCTCTGTTGGAAGGGACTTCAAGCAATCATCTACATAGAAGTTGTTCTCAACCGTGTTTATCACCTCAGTTCGAAAACATTCTTTGTTGTCTTTGGCTGTTTGCCTCAGAGCAAAGTTTGCACAGCTGGGGGATGAGACTGCCCCAAATAGATGTACCATCATTCGATGTTCCACAGCAGGCATGCTGACATCACCACTTGGCCACCAGAGGAATCGCAAGAAGTCAACATCTGATCTTGACACTCTGACCTGATGGAACATTGCTTTGATATCAGTCATAACTGCTACAGATTCTTGGCGAAATCTGGTCAAAACATCAAAAAGTGTACTGGTCAAATCAGGACCCTGAAGAAGTTCTGAGTTGAGGGATTTACCTTGAAAAGTAACAGCACAGTCAAAGACCACCCTTATGGTCTGTTTTTGAGGATGGTATACACCATGATGTGGGATGTACCACAATTTACCATCTGATCTTTTCAGCTCTTGTTGCGGCACCACTTCAGCATAGCCCTTTTTTATGACTTCTGTTAGAAATTCAGTATATTCGGTTTTGAATTTTTCATTCCTCTTGAACTTTCTTTTCAAACTTTGAAGTCGCTGTTCTGCCACTTGGTAATTGTTAGGCAACACTGTGTCGTCCTTCCTAAAAGGTAGATTAAGAGTGTAATGTCCATTTTTTAATTTTATTGACTGTTCTGCAATCTTGATGAATCTTTTGTCTTCTATAGACATTTCAGCCTTCTCTTCACATGAACGCTCATT